ACCGTGATATAAGAGGAATTAAGGAGACACAAAAGTTCAAGCTTGGGGATGCCCCAGGCATCCCAAGCTAATATTCCAATAAGTCTCAAGCATCTAAGCTTGGGGATTCCCCGGTAGGCATCCCACCTTTCTTCTTCAACAATTATCGGTTAGTATCGGTTGAGCCTAAGTTTTTGCTTCTTCACATGAGTTGTGATATGCTTGGAATGTCATTTTATTTTGTTTTTCTTGATGTTTTAATAAAATACTTAAATCTGAAAGTTTTTAAATAAGAGAGAGAGTCCACAATTAGCTACCTATTTACTTAACTACTCGCTTGATCTTAACTTATATCTTTTTTGGAGTAGCTTGTCATTTACTCTTGTTATTCAGTTATATCCTATGAGTAAATTTTTGAACGAATTGAATATTATGAAGTTGAAATTATATCATGCCTAGTGGTAGCTTCACATTGGGTTTAGAAAATGAAATCTTTTGAAGCTTGACAATCACAATATTGGTCATACAAGCAATTCCAGAATGATTAATATAAGGAACAGAACTTTCACATGCAAAAACACTATCTTGGAATTTTTTGTGATTGTGAGCCCCCATCAAAATAGTATATGCCAAAATTGTTGACGTTGGACAAGGAAGACAACGTAATGATTTATGTTTGTTCATATTCACATAGAAGTTATATTGTCATAGATCCTTCAACATGTGGTGCTTGCCCCCCATCTTTGCTAGCCAAAAATTCCACACCAAGTAGAGATACTACTTGTGCATCCAAAAACCATTTAACCCAAATCTTATTTTCAAGAGTCCACCATACCTACCTAAGGATTGAGCAAGATCCTTCAAGTAAGTTGTCATAGGTGCAATAAGGCAATAAAAATTGCTTCTAAAAGTGTTAGATCATTTAGTGTAAGAGAAAATTGAGCGTTGTACGAACTTGTGATGACAAAGAATAAAAGCGACAGACTGCATAATAAAGGTTGCTATCATAAGGGGCAATATAACGTGATGTTCTTTTGCACTAAGGGATTGAGCATACAAACAAAAAGCGCATGGCAACCTCTGCTTCCCTCTGCGAAGGGTCTACCTTTTACTTTTATGTATTTACTTTCATGCAAGAGTCAAAGTTTTTCTCTCTATTGCTTTTTATTTATCTCTTTTGGCAAGCATCATGTGGTGAGGAAAGATCTAGGCACATATATCCAATTGGATATGAGTAGCATGAGTTATTATTGTTGACATCACCCTTGAGGTGAATATGTTGGGAGGCGAAATTATAAGTCCCTATATTTCTATGTGTCCGGTTGAGACATTTTGCTCATGTGTATGCGGTGAGTGTTAGCAATCATAGAAGACTATATGATGGTTGAGTATGTGGAGCTCTTACTTAGACTATGTTGAATAAGTTGAATTGCAATTGTTTGGTGACTAAGAATATAGGTTGTTGAGTTTCAAGAGAATTCATTGTATGAACCTTAGCATGTGAATTGGTTGCTACTTTAACATGAGAAATTTATGAGAAAGAATTGTTGTTATGATGCTAGGAAAAGTGATTGAAATTATCATTGATCAAACTTGCGCACTTTGCTAGCACTCACACTTCATAAATTATTTCTTTTATCATTTACCTACTCAAGGACGAGTAGGAATTAAGCGTGGGGATGCTGATACGTCTACAACATATCTATAATTTATGAAGTATTCATACTGTTATATTATCATTCTTGGATGTTTTACAATCATTTTATAGCAACTTTATATCATTTTTTGGACTAACCTATTGACCCAGTGCCCAGTGCCAGTTGCTGTGTTTTTGCTTGTTTTTTACATCGCAGGAAATCAATATCAAACGGAGTCCAAACACTTCGAAACTTTTTGTGGATTTTGTTATGGACCAGAAGACATCCAAAGGGCCAGAGCAGCACCTGGGGGGGTGCTCCGAGGGGGGCACTACCCACCAGGGCGCACATGGGCCCAAATATTCCAAAAACCCTCGGGGCTACCCTAGATCAGAAGTTCCACCGCCGCAAGCCTCTATATCCATGAAAACCAATCTAGACCCCGTTCCGACACCCTGCGGAGGGGGAGATCATCTCCGATGGCCACCTTCATCATCCCGGCGGCCACCATGATGAGGAGGGAGTAGTCCACCCTCGGGGTTGAGGGTTTGTACCAGTAGCTATGTGTTTAATCTCTCTCTCTCTCTCTCATGTTCTTGATGGCACGATCTTGATGTATCGGGGGCTTTGTTAATATAGTTGGATCATATGGTGTTTTCCCCTCTCTATCTTGTTGTGATGAATTGAGTTTTCCCTTTGAGATTTTGTTTTATCAGATTGAATACTTTTATGGATTTGAGAGCACTTGATATATGTCTTGCATATGAATACTCGTGGTGACAATGGGGTATTATTTTGATTCACTTGATATATATTTTGGCACTCAACTCGTGGATTCCCGAGGTGACATTGGGGTAATCTACGCATAGGGGTTGATGCACGTTCTTGTCTTTGTTTCTCCGGTAGAAATCTTGGGGCACTACTCTTTGAGGTTCTTTGTGTTGGATTGAGTATTATGAATCTGAAATTATTTGGTGTTATTTTAGTAAGAACTCTTGGATAGATCGATCGGAAAGAATAGCTTCGAGGTGGTCTTGTACTCTACCAACGATTTCTTCTTATGTTCTCTGCTAGATAGGAACTTTGGAGTGATTCTTTGTTGCACGTGGAGGGATGGTTATATGATTCAATTATATTAGCATTGTTGAGAGATTGCACTAGCCAAGTACGGACCCTACGCCTCATTTTCAAGCATTGCAATACCGTTTGTGTTCCGTTTTATCAATTGCTACCTTGTTGTTTTTTATTGTTACTATTACAAAAATCAATATCTATTATCATTACTATGCTTGTATCATCATCTCTTCGCCGAACTAATGCACATATACAAATTACCATTGTATTTGGTGTGCTGGGGACACAAGTGACTTTTTATTATTTGGTTGCAGGGCTGCTTGAGAGAGGCCATCTTCATCCTACACCTCCCACGGATTGATAAACCTTAGGTCATCCACTTGAGGGAAAATTGCTACTGTCCTACAAAACTCTGCGCTTGGAGGCCTAACACGATTCTACAAGAATAAAGTTGTGTAGTAGACATCACCACCTGGCATAGACGCCGTGCAAGGCGGATCGAGGCTGGCTTGCTAGCCAGCTCGCCCGAGGTCTCCGACTGGACGACGCCACGATGGAGACGGGCTCCGACGACTCCGCCCCGGCTCCCGCGCCTCCTGTGCACGCCGACTTCACCATGGAGCAGGCACATGCGTAGTTCAATGCCGCCATGGTGGAGGTGCAGCCTGCGTCAGCGCCTTTGTCGGCGTTCCAGCAGGCGCAGGAGGAACAGTGTTACAACTTGTTCCTCCTGGAGCAGCACCGACTGGCGGAGGGCCAATCTACTGCGAGCGCGCGAGCGAGGGGGTCTTGGCGGCCACAGCCGCGGCGAACCCGAATTCCGTCATGGAGCAGCGTGCCATCTACGATGCCGTCCGTGCTCAAGCCGACGCTCTGTAGGAAGCGGCAACGCGGAGGCGCGGTTGTAGGCAACCACGAAGGAGAACATAGTTAGCTGCGCCTCCTACGCACCGCCGATGAACCATCAGCCGGCCTGGTTGAACGACGACAACCAAGGCGCCACTATTTCCCTTGTGGACCTCACATCCTTCAGCGATGGACAAGGCGCTAACTCCTCCGAGGATAAATAGGCCACAGAAGGCGGCAGGGCCTGGTATCCCATGTGGGTCAATTCGTCTTCCGTGTTCTACTCTTTCTCATCAAAGACCGCACCTTCACTTCATCGGTCTTATCGTCGGTGCTCATGAAGACGACGGAAGGGAGACAAGAGGGGCTTGGACGTCGGGCGTCGCCGCCGTAGGATAGTTTTAGGGGCGGGTCTTTATTTTTTTTTTGTCCAAAATGTAGTTGAATTCGCCGTGTTTGTATGAAACTCGTTGTGTTTGTATGAATCCGTCCGTTTCTTTTTATGAATTTCATCCAGTTTATTGAAAAATAGCTTGAAATGTATGCGGCTAGCGTTGGATAGCCGCCTCCCGCATTAATGTCCACGGACTGGTCCCCTGTCCCCGGACGGATGCGGGTTTTGCGGGTTGCTGGAGATGTCCTAAGGTCTTTGTGAATAATTAACAAAATGGTTGCATGCATCGCCTAGATGCAGAGGCCAGGATCATCCTCCTTTAAAAAAAGAAAGTTATTTTGCTCATGTCGTTAACAGGGTGATTTAGTGGCTGTTTGGTTTTTGCCGAGACAAGCCCTGCCAATGCACGGGCAAGCCAAAAATTTGGCGCAGCTTTTCGCCGCCCACGTCTCGCCCGCTGTTGGCGCAAAAAATGAACTGCAGAGGCGACGGGAGCGTTGGCGTGCCAAAACATGGGCTGCAATCCAAGCAATGCCTGAGCACTTGGTCAACGCCAATTATTTGGCTCGGCGGGTTGGGGCTCCCAACCAAACAGCCCCTTATAACTAGAGATTCGGGGTGTGGTGTGGGTTGGTGGCTGAAAACTTGGGCCCACTAAGTGGGTTCACCTACCGAGATAGCAACAGTACACATACTCCTACGTTGTTAATAAAGTGTAGCATTATCGGAGACAGCAAAAAAGAACATCATATAGTAGTACAAGCCACTGTCACCAATTATGTTCCGTTAACAAAGCTTGTAAATAATTTGTATATCAATTCATTTTAGATTCACGATGATATGCCGGCTCAGTCTCTCGGAGGTGCTCATAGGGATAGGGTGTGCGTGTGTGCGTTCATAGGGATGAGTGTATGCGCGTGTATATGAGCGCTTGTGTCTGTACTGATGCTCAAAAAAAATTCATTTTAGATTCGTAAAAGAACAAAATTTTGCAAATAAACAATCCATGAATGATTAATCTTTATCTAAGTCTACACTAACTAATTAACACAAGATTTTCTTCATCTTTCTCATATGGTGAACAATGTCTTGGCCTCCTTGTGCATGGACCTGACGATGGCGGTGACCTGCTCCACCTGCCGCTCGTCGGAGCACGCCGCGACGAGCACCTTGGCCGTCCCGGCGTCCGGGTAGCACCCGGCGTCCACCATCTCCTCGAAGATCTCCAGGCACCGCCGGTACTCCTTCTTCCTGGCGTAGGCGCCCATGCGGGACGTCCACGTGACCACGTCGGCGGCGAGGCCCCTCCGCCCCAGCGACGCGAACGCCGCCTCCATCCTCTCCAGGTACCCGGCGCGGCCGTAGGCGTTGACGGCCACGTTGTACGTGCCCACGTCGCGCGTCCCCCGGCGCTCCATGGCGGCGAGCAGCCGCTCCATGTCGTCGAGCCGGCCGGCGCGGCCGTAGGCGTTGAGCATGGCGTTGAGCGCGAAGGTGTCCGGCGCGAGGCCCGACTTGTGCAGCTGCGCCATCACCTCCTCGCAGCGCGCCACGTTGCCGGACCTGGCGTGCGCCGCCAGCAGCAGCATGTGCGACTTCATCGTCGGCGCCATCCCCTGCCGCTTCAGCGACTCGAACACGGCCTCCGCCTCTGCGTCCATCAACAGAAACTCCATGGCTGTCAGACTCGGCACCTCGCCGGAGCAGCCGGCGTTCGAGGAGTCCATGATTGACGTACGCACCTCGGTGGAGGCCGGCTCTCCCGTAGGCGTCCACGAGGATGTTGTAGGAAGCTCTGTCGGGGTCGCACCCCATGTGCTGCATCAGGGAGAAGATCTCCGAGGCGGCCTGCGGGAACCCTGCGCGGCTGTAGGCCTCCATGAGGGCGTTGTAGGCGTAGACGTCGGGCTCGTGCCCGGCCTGCTGCATCTCCTCGAACGCCTCCTCGGCCTTCTCGCACAGCCCTTCCCGGGCGAAGGCGTTCACCAGCGCCGTGTAGGTGCAGATGTTGGCCTTGCACCCCAGCGACTGCATCTCCTTGAACACCTTCATCGCCGACATCGGCTGCTTCGACTGCAATTGACACAAGAACACTTCTCATTCAGGTGATGAAAATTTCTCTATAGGGAAAGTTGGCGCCGGACGTACCTTGCCGTAGACGTTGATCATGAGGGTGTACGTCTCCGTGTTGGTCCGGCACCGCTCCCGCTTCATCCTCTGGTACACCTCCACCGCCTTCTCGGCGCACCTCGCCTTGAGCAGCCCGTCGAGGTACGCGTTGTACACGGTCGCACCTGGAGAGAACACCACCATTGATCTCTCTGTCGGTGTGAGTGACTGCATTGTCCTAACCTGAATGAAACTTTCTTACTCGGAGGGATCCCGTGCTCCCGCATCTCGGAGATGACGCCCTCGGCCCGGTGCAGCGACCCGGCGGTGCAGTAGGCGCGCAGGAGGAGCGCGTAGGTGTCCTCCGTCGGCACGCACCGGGCCTCCAGCAGCGCCGCGTACATGGCCTCCGCCTTGCCCAGCCGCCGCCGCCGGCCGTACGCGTCGATGAGCAGGTTGTAGCAGACGACGTCCGGGCGGAAGGAGCTCCGGTGCACGATCCACTCGCAGACCTAACGAGACACCCTCTGAGGAATCGCACGTCGTCCATCAGAGCTTAAATGCGATGACCGACGGCGGCGTGCTGGGGGTTTTGGGGGGGGGGACGTACTGAGATGATGGGATCCCACTGCCGGTTCAGGCGGAGCTGGACGGCGACGTTGAGGACGTCGTCCCACAGGGCGTGCGTGGGAGGGACGTCGTCCAGCGCCTCCCAGACCTTGGCGTCGTCCGTCCCCTTCTGAACGAGCTCCAGGATGTCCTGCGCCATGGGGCTGAGCACCGGGAACACGCCGTCCACGAACCCGGAGCCGTACTTCCAGCCGCGGCCTCTCATTGCACCCCCTGCATGCATGAGACTTGAAGCTGTAAAACCATTTCAACGACAGGAAATGGTGACGTGACACTCGCGAAGCAGACGTCCCTCCCTTGCTGAGCTTCAGTGCGGGTGTAAACCAAGCAAAACGAGGGGGGCCGGTGAAGGTAGGATTTTTTACCTCTTTTCCGCGATATTTTCTTCCGGTCGAAGGTCCGCGCTTCACCATCTTTGTCAATGTAGGCGCCCGGGTGTTTCCGGTTCTTTCTTTCGCCGTATCCAGAGGGATTCACCTCGGCGTCGTGCAGGGAAGAAGTTCCTTGCTGAATGCTCCCGCAGGCGCAAATGCGCCATCTTGGTCCTGCGTTCGTCGGATGATAATGCAACGGAGCCTGTATCCTCAACCTGAAATTCATACGGTGGAGGAGGAGATGTCAGTGCAACTGCAAACCAAGTTCACTGGGAGAAGTAGAGCGAGCTAGTAGTGTGTTGTTTGAGAAGTTTTGCAGTCAAAACATTCAGAGAAGAAACAGTTAAAGAATTGCCACTGAATTGGCATGCAGAACACAGACCAAATGCAACTGCAATTGCCTGAATCGGGTAAAACTGCATGAACATGGGCATAAAAGTTCAGGAAAAATTCATGAAGGTAGAAAGTGTTACTTACATGGTGAGCGCAGGGTGAAGGTCTTCAGAGGCAAACCTGCACTTCTCCCAAGGGACAGATATCGTCGAGCTTGCGGTCGCTTCTGCTCCTGATAGTTGTGGAAGAACGAGGGGCAGGGGCTGCACTGGCAAGAGGGAAAAAACTGGAATATTTGCAAAGATATTTCTCTTGGAGCCTGATGGTTCTATCTAGTTCTAGTGTGCCGTTTGAGCCTCACATGATTTATCGTCCATCCATCGTTGCCTTATCCAGAAGGCAAATAAAACCCGGCTGTTGCGCTGGGCTGCACCGGGCAGTGGCACTGCTCCGTTACTGGACTAACCAAACATCTGCACAAGCTTTTCTGTTGCGTTTCTGAATATATGCCCAATGCAAAACTAAGAGGTTTATTGGAGGTAGGGATGCAGAGCGGCGCCCGATCCGCGCCGCTTTCAAGTAAAAACATGTGAGCTTAGTTGTAATTCCTCCGGCCTTACCCACCAGCTTAGTTTCATACAACTATACGAGGAAGAAACCAGTCGTGCTGAAATAAAAAAGGAAGGACGATGACATCACATTTCTCCCCCAGAATTGCGTTTACATGGAGAGACGGCAAAAGCACCAAGTTCCACGGCACATCATTGTATGTGTTCTTGGAAGTCTTGCTATTATCCATGATTAACAAAATTGGCAGTTATATTTTCCCAGGTACAACTGGCAGAAACCATGCATACGATACAACACCCTTTGCAAGCATTTCTTTCTGATACATTCTATCAAAAGCAAAAGGAATCCGGTGAGAATCTCATTCGAGCTCTACTCCTTCAGTAAATTTTGGCTTTCATTTTTGATCCGTTTGGTCGGAGGACCTTGAAATGTATTGTCAGTGTAAGTACATGGTCGTTCGGCAAAAATATCCTTATTTTTGCTTGACAGAGAACCAAGTAGCTGAAGGGCTGCGTGATTCAAAAGTCAGTAGGGTAATTCTCAGGCTTAAACCACATGGAGAAATCAATTCCTTTCTTCTTAAGGTCTTCAGTAGCAGGCCGGATCCGCTCCAAAAGCTGCAATTGAGTAATGCGATTCATCAACAACCCCCCATACAATTTCTCCAAGAAACAACACAGCGGAATTATCATTGCTCTAGGTAATCCATACAGCATACGCCAACAACACAAACACCCTAAGCTTGGAGATCCCTAGTATGATGAATCGTCTAATGTGGACTCTTTAAGTTTGTCAGATTGACCATTTACCTTTGGGGATATAACCATCCATGCTTGAAATATCATTAGTATGGTATATTGGTATTGTATAATACCATTAGAGGTGATTTTCAGCAAATAAGAGAAGCTACTTTTTAAAAACTGACCTGATCGTGAACAGTGCCATTGGAAACAAGAACAGAACGATCAAAGACTGTAAACTCTCCACCATCCATGCGTGTCACTACCCCACCAGCTTCTTCAACTATCTGTTGAAAAATGACTAAATTCATCAAATAATTATACTGGCAAACTCCACAGAATAAAGAGTTGCATAGAGAAGGGAAAAAAATCCATCCTGCTCAGGATCAATGAGTAGAAATTTATCTAACTAAAATTAAGACTGCTAGATAAATACATTTCAGAATATACACATCACTCTGATACCTTTTACTATGAGAATTCAAGATTTGATTACATAAAATAACATCAGTTGCTTTCAAAGATTAGTTCAGAACTGCTCAATGATACCCTTAAGATAAGATTAACTCTTATTAAATTTTCAACCCAAATTATGAGAATACGGACGTAAACATGAGAAAAGATTATCTGAATGGAAAGATGGTAAGGTTTGAAAATAAGCAAATAAGCCAGTCCCACTTTCTACCAAACTGATGATAATTTAGCTGAAAATCCTACATCCACGTAATCCTACGAAGCTTTTTACGTAAAATTCCAAACAAACTCTCTCTCCCCCCCTGAATTTCAGGGGGGTGGGCCCCTTCCTCCCTCTTTCTCCAATCACAAATCCCCATGTTGCACATTACGTTAATCACGTAATACTAATTATGCAGGTGTAGCATTACTCTTACTTAGAAACTCTGATTCCATCGGGTAAAAAGGATTACCAGAACACCAGCAGCCATGTCCCATGGCTTAAGCCGATATTCCCAGTAGGCTTCGGTAATGCCTAGACCAACATGGGACATATCAGCAGCAGCAGAGCCTAGCCTTCGTACTCCCTGAAAGCAAGTACGTTTTTAAAAAGAAGGATTAAAGAAACGACATAAAGAAGAAAAGTGGGCGGTGTTTGGTTTCCTTGTTTCTGAACCCATGGTAATACCATTTTAATCAGGGGAGGATTCACTTACCCTGCTAACATCAGTAAATTCCTTGAACAAATTTATATTGGTCAGCCATGCATCATCATGTTCATATCCAAACCCAGTAACCAGAAGAGATTGTTCCACCTAGAGAATCAATTAAAGATAATAGATTATAAATCCGTATCTGCTGCACGAACTATTTATATTACATGAATTATAATTGCATCCTGAAATACTTTAATGAACAGATACATTGAGTATGATCACTGGAAGGTTTTCATGGCAGGTACAAAAAGGTGTGCACGTATCCTTACTTGTACAGTTGAATAAGAGAAATAGGTTACCTTTTCTGTTGGACTGACATGAATCTTTTGCCCATTACAATAAGCACCTTTTCCTGTTCAAGAAGCAAACAGAGCCTTAAAAACTAATGTCATGGTATATTCCAGAACCAGAATAAGAAGCATGCCAATTATTGATCAAAGATCCTACCAGAAGATGCAGAAATCGTACGAGTGTTCCAGCACATAGGCCCACCACAAAATTCCACCTAAATGAGATGGCAATAATATGTGAGTACAGAGAGAAACTATTTCTAAGACCTATAATTTGTGTCTCCAATATTCCATAATTGTATGGTTCAAGAATGATATATGCATACACATACCACAGTGGCAGCAGCAGGCTTGCCTCGGAATAGAACACCAATGGATACAGAAAAGCTGGGGTAACCATGTGCAAAGTTTGTTGTTCCATCTAAACAAGAAGACCATGAAAATGAATTAAATTGAAACATAAAGATTGTATTGCATATTCTCTAGTCAAAATGGCTCAAAGAATGCCTCAGTGAAATTAGGTACCAGTCATAAATCATTCTATTGCTTAGCAATCAACATAGAATTGTCACCTTCCAAATCAGTGAAACAGACAAACCCATAGTGAGTGCACAGCTTACGTCCGAAAAATAAAGCAATCCTCAGAATCAAGGAAACACTACAGGAATTTATTCATCCAATTCTATAAATGATGGTTGTTCATGACAGAAAAATCCCAGTTAAGCCCACTACAGGAATGATTGTATGGTAAGTAGAAATAAAGGAACCAAACCTAAAGGATCAATGCACCAGAGATACTCTGACAAAGAATCTCCAATAAGGCCACCTTCCTCCCCAAGTATGAGGTGGTCTTTGAAGTTCTTGGTGACGACTTCAAGAATGACTGATTCACTCAGTTTATCTGTGCTGAACAGAAGGATGGTATAATAAATTCACCAAGTGAGAACACATACATAAATTTAAGGCCCACGTTCATACAACAGTGAAATCAACAGCATATGCAAAAATAAGAGTATACATGAGAAGCATTCTTACTCTGTCACCAAGTCTGCAACCCCCTTGTATTGGATATTACGCGGCTTATTAACAGCTTCCATTACAACCTAAAACGGAAGCAAGAAAAGGAAAACTGGCTGAGAATTTATTCATCAAAATTAGAACGAGGAGGATGCGAGGAACTTGCACAAGCGCATGGAATGGAAGTACCACAGCCCCACTTATGAAAATCAGGAACTGGGCAATCTTAGAAGTGCCATGTAGGATAAATGATGAGGTGAAGGAGAGAGAACTCATAAGAAAAGGTTTGCCTTATCTTATTTAAGAGAAGACAAGAGATGATCTCTTAGCACAATATGTCTCACCATGTTTTTAGGAATAGCTAGTTATTGAAGATAAAGCTAAGAGATGATCCATTGTAGACATTCTTTTTTGTCATATCTAAATTACATGCAAGACTTAAGATAAGACTATCTTATCAACCATTGTACATGCCCTTAAAGGGCATGAATTATGCAACCCATAAAGCCTCGTGGTATACCCCATATGTTTATCCTCTCTTGGTTAGCAGAAGAACTATTTGTCAAATTTATCGCCGGAAACCAATTAAACCTGTAGTTGGTAACACATTAACCAGCACGGCAGCACCTGCCAATTCAACTACACGACTAGCATTTCTTTCTTTGAAACTAAGTGGCATCGGCATCGCAGTCGTCGCTATAATTCAATCTACGAATCGTACCACGGGCAGAACCTGCAATCGTCTAGCGGAGTCAACCCCAAGGGAGCGCCGACGAGAAAAAGGGAAATCGCAAACGCACCTCGGCGCCTGCCTTGGCGGCGGCCTGGATGACGCCGAGCAGCTCGTCGGCGGGAACCGGGCCGGTGGTGGGGGCGGCCATCTTCGGGTACTTGCTGGGTGCGGCGGGCTGGCTCGACGCCACCGCCATGATAGCGCGCGCGTGCTTGGACCTGGAGGCGAGCGAGCGGAGAGCGAGGATCGGCGCCGGCGAGGCCCTGGCATTCCTCGGGAGCGAGGAGGCGGCGGTGGTGGTGGAAGGGAGAAGATACCGTGCCATTGGTGCTGAGAGAAAGGGTTTGATTCCTCCCTGTTGTTTTCCTCCCGCTGCGCTTCGTCTGTGTGTGTACGCTGTACGGTATACCACCTGCTTCTTCTTTTCCTTTTCTCCAGGATATACTTGTCTTGTGTGTGTGTGTGTGTGTGGAGAATATACTTGTTCTTTTTCTTAAAAAATATATCCAGTTTTGATAGAAACTTGAACAAATATAGTACTCCTCCGTTTCTTTTTTTTGGAATACTAAGAGTGTATCTTTGCATTGATAGAGTGATAGAACATACAGTGTCACGCCACGTTCACGTACACAGAAAGGCGTGTTCGTGGCGATCAAGTGAGCAAGGAGAGAAAGAGGATGCTCAGCCTCGCATACAGTGTCAGGTTACAGGGATGAAACCATTCAGTCCTTTGGCTCCGACATTTGCCCAGGAGCGAGCCTCGTCCTTGATAGCATCAACGACAGTTGATGTGGCGGGAGTAATCTTGTCGAAGATGACTGAGTTGCGATGGCGCCACATTGTCCATGCCGTGGGACC